CAGTCAACAGCTGGGCCAGATACCAACCCAGGATGTGGAACCCAGGCATCCTAACTGGTATCTTAACATCCAGGCCAAAAGCCCTCCATGTGCAAAAAAAAAAAAAAAAAAGAGAGAGAGAGAAAAGAGAGAGAGTTTGAAATCCATGTACAGTTTTTTTCACATTTTCCACAAACTTTCCAAAGTCCCCATGAATATGGTCCTACTAGACTTAGACTTCTTTAGTAGTCTTAAATCCCCTCCATAGAGCAAAGCAAGTAGTAAACATTCATTATTCTGTCTTGTAAATTGAGCAACTGATTAAGTCAGGGTCCCTTACTCAAATGGCCTTGTCTAGTTTTACCAATAACCTACTGTGAAACCTCTATTTAACGCCTCTGTAGTATAAAAATAAGTCTCTTTGTCTGTAAAAATAAGTAGGTTGGGCTAACTACTGTTTCCATTTCTTCACTTTTGAATTAGGCAGCCACTTCTCATCTCCCCAAGATCTGAGATAAAGTATGGAGGAAACTGTAAAGCCTCCCCCAGCTCTCCCAGGCAGCTGGGTTAGTCACTTGCTCCCCTGGGCTTCCCACAGCTTTTGTATGTATATGTAATACCTCTATTTCAGCATCTATCACAGGATCTGGAAGGAGTATGCAGTTTAGTGGCTGAGGTAGAAGAATTAGACTGCCTTAATCCAAACACTGGCTCTCCTTACCATCTGTGTAATTTCAGGCAAGTTGTTTAACATCTCTGTGACTTAATTTCCCTGCCTATAAGGTTGATAATAATACCTACTACACAAGAAGGTTTTAAGAATAAATGAAATAAAATGGTTAGAATAGTTCCTGCCATATAGTATACACTAATTGTTGCCACAGGGCACCAGCACTTGAACTGTTTGGTAGCTCTTCACTTTCCGGTAAAGTTGTCCTATCCCTATCCTTCGCCTCTGAACTGGGATGTACCACATTCTGGGTAAAGGCAAGAGAGCTGAGCCCAAGCCAATACAGTGGCAGCAGTTGGACTGACCATTGCTACTGCAGGATTTGCAGGCTGTTATGTGTTGCAAGCCACAAAGCACATGGAGCCTCAAGTAAAACAAGTTTTTCAAATCTACCTAAACCTGCCTTCAGTGACGGCTATTACAGAGGTGGGTTTGAACATAAAGTGACAAAATGAGAAGTAGCATTAATACTAAGTGTAAGCCCTACTGCTCATAAAGGAAAAATAAGAGATATGCAACTACGAATGATGCTCTTAAATCACCCAAAGGAGGATCTCCTTATATAGCAGTCAAAATCAATGAAGCTAAAGATTTACTAGAAGGTCAAGCTAAAAAAAGAATTTTTTAAGGATTTATTTATTTTTATCTGAAAGAGTTACAGAGAGAGGGAGAGACAGAGACAGCAAGAGAGAGAGATCTTCCATTCGTTGGTTCACTCCCCAAATGGATGCCAACAGCCGGAGCTGAGCCAAGCTGAAGTTGGAAGCCAGGAGCTCTTCAGGGTCTCCCACGTGGATGCAGGGGCCCAAACATTTGGACCACTCTCTCCTGCTTTCCCAGGCACATTAGCAGAGAGCTGGATCAGAAGTGAAGCAGCCAGGACTTGAACCAGTGCCCAATCAGTACCCATAGAGGATGCTGGCATCACAGGCAAGGGCTTAACCTGCTGCACCATGATGCCAGACCCAACACATGAATCTTCAGTTCATGTTAGCATGTGTATATGAGCACCAATTTTTTATAATAAAATACCTCAGAGCCACAATTTTTAAAAGCCCATTGTTATTATTACTATTAATTAGTGCTACTGTGTTAATCTGCCCTATTAGACATGAGGTTACAACCTTAACTAGCTCTCTGTTCCCCTCTCATTCTCTGTCACAGCACCTTGTCTGTGTTTTCTTTCATGGCACTTGCCAGAAGGTAATATATTTGTTTGCTTATTTTCTGTCTCCCCAGTGAGACTTTAACTTCCATTAAGGGAGTTCTCTAAATCTCCACAGGAAACGTACATAGTGCCTGACCCAGAGCAGGCACTCAAATGCTTGTTGAATAAATAGCACATGAGCTACCACTACTCAGGGTTTGCTGAATCAATTAACCTAGCTAAGGTTGATTGTGAAAACTGAGGCCTCAGAGCAGATGTTGTCCTGGCTGCCCCAGGATTAGTGTGTCCCTTATCCCAGTCCCCAGTATTAGCTTCAGCCAAACCCCACCCACCTGCTCTTGGCCCCAGCCCAGTTCCGGGAGCCACCCTCAGCTAAAATTAGCATAGCTACCAAGATGGCCAGGCCATTTATAGCCCTGGAGGCAGCAGCAACTAGCTGGGTGGTCAGGAAGGGCCCTAGCCTGCCACTCCATCAGGGGTTGACTGAAAGTCAGTCTGTACCCTATACACTACGTGTCTATCCTCTGAGGCACCTCTTCAGCTACAGTCCCTGGTTGGAGACCTAATATCTCCAACACTGAAGACTCTAGACTCCACTGAGGTCCGTCACACTTTCTACAGAAACCTTTCTGAGTTTCTGGAGGCAAGGAGCCTAGCACCTAAGGGAGGTCCCAAGCATCAGTTTCAGGTCGGCTTCAGAAATGCAGGCCCTCCAATGGCACAGATCTTTACGAAGAAAGTAACTTGGCATGGCTGAGTGTGCAGGTATTAAAGAGTCAAAAGGCGAGAGGAATGGCCTCTCCACTGCCTGCGGAGAGAGCCTCCTAGCACAGCACCTGCCTTCACTGCAAGGTCAGACTTTTAGTCGTGTTCGGCATGTGCATGGGAAAGCCATAAACATGTTAATTAAATCTTGCTTCGAATCAAATCTTTTCATGAGCTAGAAAGGGACAGATGGGTCTTTACATGAGAAAGAGAAGTCAAAACCTCTGCACTCCTGCAAAAGACTCCAGAGGAGAAAAAGGCAGCCGTTCTCTTGGCTCTCAGTTCCAGAGTCAGCCAGGCCTGCCTAATCACCAGGAGGGAAGGCAGCCTTCTCTGGGCCCCACCTAGCCCTCCTTTAATGGGACGTGCGAAGATGGAAGAAGGCCAGCAGTTAGGCATCAGAAAGCCTGCCCATAAGATTGAGCACAGGAGCGGGTTTCCTCACCATAAAAACAGGGACAATACCACCTGTACTACATTCTAATGGAGCTATTGTGCAACTTCGTAGGAAAAACAGCTCTGAGGTTGTACAATATAAACTGTAGAGACATACAAACTGACGAGCCATGTAGAATCTCATTATAAAAAGTAACGCCATTAAGAATAAAAGAAGTGAAACTTCTCCTGAGTTCTAGGGATAGAGAGGTACCGGAAAGGCTGCTCGAGTTCCTGGTTGCACTGAGAGTTTCTCTCCGAAGCCTTTTTGCAGAGGCCAGTCTACCAGCCACCTCTTTGCAAAAACAAATCCATATGAGTCAGAGAAAAAGTCCCAGACTCAAGGAGACAACCTGCCAGAACAATAATACTGGGACCCCCCAAGTTCTCCCAAACCATACCCATTCACAGTACTCAGGGTCTGTCTCTCTGTGAGACTTGCCTTACCGGAATTCACTGTAACAACAGAAACCAATTTATGAGTAGAGGAGGAAAAGACCAAGAGAGTCCTCATCAGCATAGCCAGGCATTGAAATACTTGTATGCTGGATGGAGCTTGGTCTCCTTAAGCTCAAGGATGGTCCTGAAGGAAGCTGGAATACCTTTTATTTTAGGTATAAGCATGCACGCAAACACACACACACACACACACACACATCCTGACGGCCTAAAATTTAAGACTTCATGCCTTTGGCTTGTGTCTGAAATATAGAACATGTTGCCCCCAAATATTCATTCTATGTTACTCATATTTTAGAATAAAAAAATCAATTATCAATAAGAATATCCCTTGAACAACAGAGATGCCCCTGAGGCACACTTCACAATTCAGTCTTTCTATTCATAACCCGATGGGAACCAAGCTTTGAATTGGGCTTCAGGGGCTCAGGAGACTACCCTTAGAGAGACAGGATTCACATGCTAAAAGAACCTATCTTTAAAGCAACAGCCCTGGTACCATTCTGAATTCATTTGGAAACCAGCCCTTAGAGCAAGTAGAATCACACCCAGGCCAGGCAAGGAACTTATACTTGACCTGTATTTCCTTTTCCTACTTGTCTCATCAGGAACCCACTGAGCCCTCCCCTCCTTTGAGTTTACCTATCCTCAGACACAACTCAGCTATAAACTCCCCCCACCCCTGCAGACCACAGCTTTGGCCAAGATCATTATTATGATCCAAGGTGAGAGAAATGGGAAAAGAGAACTGATCTCCTTCTAAGCCTTACATAAAACAACAGGATTTTAAAAGTATAACTTTCTACTGTTGCCTGACGAGATCGCCCCAGAGCACTGGAAAAACCAGGATAGATCAAAAATAACATGGAATCCCTAACATCATCAGTCAGAAGAAATAGGTCAACAAGTGGTCCCAGAAATTATATCATGCCTATGTCAAGAACAGACCATTTAATTCCTTAGTGGTAAATAGGATTCCATCTAAGGAACTGCCTTGATATCTCAGATGGGCACAGCCGAGAGACGGATTCCTAAGGGGAGGGAGGGACTAGGGTTCCCACGGTTGTAGGAACAGAGGGCACACCTGAACACCAGGCTGTCAGGCAACAGAGGTGGCCAGCCCTGACTTTCCCTGCCCAACCCAAGTGGACTGCACGCTGCTGAAACTCGCTAACCACAGAAGTCTTTTCATCTGGCCAGGACATTCTTCCAGACAAGTAGTCCTGAGATGGGGCCTCTCTTGCCTTGCTGCCCTAAAAGGTCAAAGTGCCCCCAAAGACATCTTAAGGAGTGAGGGGAGTTGTGCAGGGGAGGTAACATCGGCCAAGACTCCAGAACATAAACAACTTCTTGGCCTACTGGGAACAGGCAGTGCCATGTGCAGATCCTCCACCAGTTTCACATGCACAAATCAAGATTTCAGCTTGCCCACTTCAGGCCACCCGGTGGTCGGGCCAGCCTTACCTGCTGCAGTGGACTCCTCAGAAGTGGCCCCCGAGCCGGCTCCTGCCGCTTTCTCGCTGTGACTGTGGCTGAGGCTCTGGCCCTGATGCACGAGGAACCCCCAGAGGAGCCAGAGGGCAAGACGGGCGCACACATCCATGGCTCTAGGTCTCAGTCAACATGCGCCTAATGTAGACACCTTGGGATCCCAAAGGCAGAGCCGGGAGTCTGGGAGTCCGGGAGAGCAGCCGATCCCCAGGCAAGATGCCCTCGCGGCGTCGCAGCTGTCCGGCCACCTGCGGGCCTGCCTCCTCCGGCAGCCAAAGGTCAAGGGCTCCAAGTTTGGAGAGAAGGGCCGGCGTCTTGGGGACAACCGTGGGTCCGCGGAGGCTGCGGCGGCCTGAGCGCTGGCCGCTTCCGGAGAGTTTGGGCAAGGTGGCTGCGGGGCCGCTGTCAGATCCGCAGCCTGCTACACCCCTGCAGGAGGGGGTGGGCGGGATCTCCCACGGTCACAGGAGTCGGGGGAGGGAGAGGAGAGAAGGGAGGAAGAGAAGAAGGGGGCACCTGACCTCGCCCCGCCGAGGAGCGGCGAGCAGAAGCTCGCGGAGGGCGTGCGACTCTCAGGCCCCCGCGGACGCGAGCGTCTCCAGGATCCTAAGGCCTCCTAGGCCGAGGTCAGCGCACGCGTCCGGCGCGGTGCCCAGGCTGCTGGCTGTGCCGTGGTCCAGAAGGCGGACGCGCACGGGCCAGGCCCGGGACAGCGGCTCCCGGCGGGCGGGCGGGCTGGCGGGCGGCGCGGGGCGGGCGGGGGCGTGCTCTCCCGCGGGCCCGCCCCACGCCGCCCGGCCCCCAGCGAAGCCCGGGCCCGCCCCAGAGCCCGGGCTTATCCCGGAATAACCTGTTGGGGACGGCCGTCCGGAGCCCCCCGTCCCCCTCGGGCTCTCCGGGAGCCCCCAGCCCGCGCTGGTCTTCGCCAGGACGCCCTTCCTGCGCCAAGGATCAGGCCCGGACCTCTCCTTTGCCCCCCCGAGTGTCCCGCGCACCAACCCGCCGGCTGACGGGCCCCTGACACGCAGTTGCTCAGGTAACCCAGGCCTGCGGCGGCCGCGGCAACAGCAGGTGCCCTGCCCTGCTCTGATCCCCGGGCCGCGGAACTCCACTCGCCTCAGCTCTGGGGAAAAAAAAAAAAACAGCCTGGACAGAGGCCTCCGGCACAACGACAGCCTCCGGAGGCGAACAACGGCCCAACCGGGTCGGCTCCGGGGGGAAGCTCCCAGCCCCCCGTCCCCCCCACGCCCGGTGCTTTTTCCTGACTCCGCCCTCCCGCCGCGCCTCACAACCAATCGGCTGAGGAACTCGCGCGCTTCGTCGCCCGTGCGCAGCGGCCCCTGGTGGGCACATCTGGGAACTGCAGACAGGAGTCGCTCCTGGGAGGCCCTGCCTCTTTGCGGACGGTTGGGGAGCCAAGTGAGGATCCGCCCTTGGGGCGAGGCTCACTGGGGCCTGCGCGTGTTTTCAAAGGAAATGGTGCCAGAAAGCAAAATGAAATGTGCACTCTAGGTAGAATTCCTCTGCAATCCCTTCTTAAGTCTGAGCCGAAGGCCGCCATCTGCCTTCCTGGTCCCCCCGGTCACGGCCGCCCCAGGCTGACTCTCCCTTCGTTATCACAGTACATTTTGCTACCTGCCGCTCAACTCTCCTTCCCCTGAGATTTCTGCAGGTTGAACCTGTGCCTGGTTCCTCTCTGCATCTCGCTCTCGAGGGAGGGGTCAGCGACTTGAGTAGGAGCACCCCACTAAAGAGAGCGCCCGCCCGAGCTCCCGCCACAAAGTCTGCACTTCCTGTTCTCTTCTCCAGCACACTGTCAGCAATCTTGAGTGAAACCTCCTGGGTGCCCTACCCTGTCCTTGGCACCAGAGACGGGGGACCTGTTCTGAACAAGCCCTTTGAAGACCGGGAACGCGGATTTGCCCAACAGCTGCCTGGCTTAAGGGTTAGCCTGTTGATATAAAAATACACGTCTAACGTCATCTACTACCGCTCTCCCCCTGCGTTAAGCTCCCCTCAAACTGACCTTCCTAAAGTTCCTCAAACACAGCAAACCCTAAGCCACCTCGAAGCCTGTGTATCTGCTATAGCTTCTGCCAGAAACCCTCTTCCCTGTCCCCAGCTCCTCACACTTCCAGAGCCGAGCCCTTACCAATTCCTACTCTGACCCCTGCCTCAGAATCAGCCGATAGCCAGAGCTACACCATAGAGATTCCTCCCTCTGCCCCTCCCCCAATATCTTGTGAGCCTGAACTTTCAGAGATCAGAGACTGTGACTTATTAACTGCCCCTTTGGAGGGACTCGCTAAAAAGCTGTGTAACATAAGTGAATTCATTTGATCGTTCAAAAAAAATTTTTTATGATTTATTTGTTTGTTTGAGAGGCAGAGTTATAGGCAGAGAGGGAGAAACAGAGAGAAAGGTCTTCCATCCACTGCTTCCCTCCCCAAATGGCCCCAACGGCCAGGCCAGCAGGAAGTGGGCTGATCCGAAGCCAGGAGCTTCTCCCAAGTGCCTGCAGGGGCCCAAGCACCTGGGCCATCTTCCACTGCTTTCCCAGGCCATTAGCAGGAAGCTGGATTGGAAGTGGAGCAGCCGGTGCCCATATGGGATGCCTGCACTGCAGTTGGAGGCTTAACCTACTATACCACAGCGAGGGCCCCCAAATTATTTTATATAAACATTTATTTATTGGGGTGGACAACTGGTGCAGTGGCTTAGATGCTGTTTGGGATTCACACATTCCATATCAGAAAGCCTGGGAGTCAAGTCAGAGCTGTGTTTCCAGTTCCAACTTCCTGCTAATACACAGCCTAGCAGGCAGCAAGTGATATTAGCTCAAGGACTTGGGTCCATGCCACCCACAACAGAGATCCGGATGGAACTCTAGACTTCAAGCTTCAGCCTGGCCCAGCCCCAGGTGTTGTGGGCACTTGGTGAGTGAACTAGCAAATGGAAAATAACTCTCTCTTTCTCTCTCTCTCCCTCCCTGTGTGTGTGTGTCCCTCTCTCCTTCAAATAATTTTTTTAATAAAAAAATTGTGTTATTATTTGAGAGACAAAGAACTTGCATCTGCTGCTTTACTCTCCAAATTCCTACAATGGCAGAGGTTGGGCCAGGCCAGAGCCAGGAGCCAGGGACTCAAGCCAGATCTCCCAGGTGGATGGGAGACTCCACTACTTGAGCCATCACTGCTGCCTCCCAAGGAGGGAGGATCACACCATCGGGGAGCTGGAGTGAGGAGCTGAATCAAGGAACCAAACCCAGAGGAAGGATGTGGCATTCCAACATTGCAACATGGGACGCGGGTGTTCTAACAGGCATCTTAGCCGCTAGGCCAAACACCCACTCCTCCAATATTTATTGAGTAACAAACGAGGTGCTGGAGAATGAGTCAGAACGGAAATCAAACACTCTAGATTCTATTAAACCAATGCTAAACCAGGGGTTTTGAACCAAAATAACAAAACGGGCAGGCAAATAATACAGCCGAGGGAAGTAGGTGGGAGCAATAGGGAGTGGTGGGGACTATGACTGCCAAGTGGGCTCAATATTCAGGTCTATCATCAAAAGAAGATGGCTATCTGTAATCCTCCACCTAGCGGTACCGGCACACCGGGTTCTAGTCCCAGTCAGGGCGCCAGATTCTGTCCCGGTTGCCCCTCTTCCAGGCCAGCTCTCTGCTGTGGCCAGGGAGTGCAGTGGAGGATGGCCCAAGTACTTGGGCCCTGCACCCCATGGGAGACCAGGAGAAGCACCTGGCTCCTGCCTTTGGATCAGCACGGTGCGCCGGCCGCAGCACACCAGCCATGGCGGCCATTGGAGGGTGAACCAACGCAAAAGGAAGACCTTTCTCTCTCTCTCTCACTATCCACTCTGCCTGTCAAAAAAAAAAAAAAAAAAAGATGGCTATCTGGACTTGTACCTGACATCTCCTTTTTTAATATTAGCACTGATTTTAAAAATAGAAAACACTGTATAGGCCACATAAAACACATCTACAGCCCAAACTAATCACTCAAACTGCCAGTTTGTCATTACTGCCTAAGCCACCTGCCAGTGCTATCATTTAGCTAAGAGAACATGCAAAAAAAGAGCAAAGCATGATTAACACAACTTCCTTCAAATTCAATAACATCATTTCTCTTAGCCACAACTTGATTTCTTTGGGGGTCCGGGTGGAAAACGTATTTGGCATAAAAAAGCCTGGGTCTTTGATACTGTAAGCCAGAGTCTGTTGCGAATTCACACCAAGACTTTCAACCTCTTACTCCCTGTCTCATTTCCTGTGAGGCTAAAATGGTATCTAGGAACTAAAAATAGAATTACCATATGATCCAGAAATTCCACTTCTGCGTGTATACCCAGAAGAAATGAAGACAGGGTCTCAAATGTTTACACAGCCATGTTTATAGTAACATTACTCACAAGAGTCAAAAGGTAGAAGCAACCCAAGTGTTCATGATGGATGAATGAATAAACAAAATATTATATTTATATTATATATACACAAAGGGATATTAGGCAGTCTTAAAAAGGAAGAAAATTCTGACACATGATGCAACATGGATGAACTGTGACAACAAATTGCTAAGTGAAATAAACCAGCACAAAAGGAGAAACACTGTGATTCTACTTGCATGATGCACCTAGAGTAGTCAAATGCAGAGCGACAGGAGTAGAATGGGAGTTGCCAGCAGATGGGGAGAGGGGCGGGGGGCAAGTTGTTTAATAAGGATAGTTTCAGTTTTGAAAGATGGAAAGAGTTCTGGAGACTGCACAGCAACAATGTAAATGTACTTGACATAGCTGAACAGTACACTTAAAAATGATTATAGTGGTAAAATGTATGTATGTGTTACCACAATTAAAAATAAAGGATGTTTGGGGTAGATGTCTGGCACAGAGTTAAGATGCTGCTTCAGAGGACTGCATCCCATATCAAAGTGCCTGACGTGAGGCCTGGCTACTCCACTTCTCATCTACCTTCCTGCTAAAGTGTGCTCTGCATTAGCCTGCAATGCTGGCATCCCATATGGGCGCAAGTTTTGTCCTGGCTGCTCCACTTCCCATCCAGCTCCCTGGTATGTGCCTGGGAAAGCAACGGGGGACGACCAAAGTACTTGGACCCCTGCACCCACGTGGGAGACCTGAATGAAGCTTGAGGTTCCTGGCTTTGGACTGGATCCTGCCCTAGGCTATTTTGGCCATTTGGATAGAGAACCAGCAGATGGAAAATCTCGCTTTCTCTCTCTCTCTGTCTCTCCTTCTTTGTAACTCTGCCTGTCAAATAAAATAAACAAATATTTAAAAAAAAATAGTTATAATCAGCATTCCAGGAAGGCAGGAGATGATAACTCAAGAACTTGAGTCCCTGCCACCCACATGGGAGATCTTAACTGAATTCTGGTCTCCTGGCTTCAGCTTAGCCCAGCCCTGTTACAGGGATTTGGAGAGTGAACTAGCATATGGGAAAAATCTCTCACTCTCACTCTCTCGCTCTGCCTTCCAAAAAAAAAAAAAAAAGTATCTGGAAGCTAAAGCCATGGTCTGGACAACAAGAAAAACCTTCTGACTTGTCTGACCTCCAAGATATGACATTAGAGAAGTCAGTTCCCCTCTGATTTTCAATCTCCCCAGCTCTAGAATTGGCAGTAACCAGATTATTGATCCAGTTTGGCTTTAATATTCTACAAAATGGGGAAATCCTACAACCTCATGAATC